TTAGTTTCATTAATTAAAAAAAAAATTAATGAGCAATTATATTTTCACTCTACATGTTTGTAAGAAAATTGTGAACACCTCTTAGATCCATAAAATATTCGTGATTTGGCACTTTGTCTGAAAGGCCCAGCGGGGGGTATTTGTCCCTTTTGGACATGCCCTAACAAAATCAAAGTACTGAAAGACGGGCTTTAATATGTTCGGGTGTATTGTCTAATCCTAAAATAATACATATTTGAAAATCTTTCTTTCTGACCATTGATATTTAACAGGTAGAGTTTGTATGATTATGATTAACAATAACCCATCTTGATCTGATGATCCGCACCTGTCAACGAGACGTGATACGGCTCTTCGGATCAAGTTACTGTTATAATGATAAATTTATTATATACCCCCTTACAACTATAGCAAGATATAGTTTTGAAAACTTCTGAGATCAATTATTTAATATTTTTCCATGTAACAAAGCATTCTGTCAAGGGACTTTTTGATGCGCAAGAAAAATAACGTCATGTTTCTGTGTACTACGTCATCAATTTCAGAGGGGGGTGATATGGATTCAGAAAACCACAGTGTGGTGATCCGGAAAGTCGGATCACACCGTCACGTGATTGTACAAAATCTACAGTAAAATTGAGTGATACACTGCTTGGTATATAATAATACTGTTTATACATGCATCACGGACGTAAATAAATATGGGTCAGACTAATTATGCTAAAATATCAGTAAACGAACAAAAAATGTCATACATTTTTTTTTAAATTCTACCAATAACATATGGCTAGTGAGGGGATATATAAGTCATTTGTTTTATTTAATGTCACTAATTTAAACAATAAAGGTCACTAATTTTAACTTTTAAGAAAACAATTAATTTTTTACAAAAAATATTTGTCTGTCAATTGCCAAACTTTTTTTTTTTAAAAGAATGTTGAACCAGATGTTTGCTGATTTTTCTTCAGATAGATTTGAATTAGAATTTAATTTAAAAAATAAGTTCATATTGGTTTAATAATTTATGTAATTCATAGTTAAAGAAATACACATATTTTTAGAGATATTCTTAAAGTTTCAAACAAACAGTACTTTTATCGCCGACTAGATACACCAGACACACCATGTACAATTGTCAGGCGAATTAATTCAGGCATTACGCAAAGTAATTAATTCTTCAAACTCCAATTTAGTTATCTATTTATTTGCTGAAAGAAAAAACAGAATATTACCACTCACATAACATCGACGAAAACGATATGAAATTCTTTAACAATTCAATATAGGCAACCTGTCGAAAAGCCTGCGCATATTGAAAATAGCAATATTACAATATGCATTCAGTAGCGTATGTGCACAAATTGTTATATCACGATTACCCTAATAAAGTAAATATCTAATTCCTCTTTGAATTTAATTCTCAAACAAAAATATTGATCAATTAACATTTCCGTAGATTGAGATGTTAAAAATATTTGTTTAAGTATGGTCTTTCAATGTCACTATTTTGTTTATCGGAAGCGTCTGCTTTGACGCTGTTAGGCTTTTTGTTTACTTTTCTGAACATGTGCTATTTATAGTAAGGCAGTCGATCACGATGCCTACAGCCAGGACTTTGCTTTCAGCAAAGCCCGGCTAAAAATACTATAGTAAACTATAGTTTACTATAGTTAACTACAGTAAATCAAAGTTCCAAAGTTTTCACTATAGTAAATCAAAGTTCCAAAGTTTTCACTATAGTAAATCAAAGTTCCAAAGTTTTTACTTTAGTAAATCAAAGTTCCAAAGTTTTTACTTTAGGAAATCAAAGTTCCAAAGTTTTCATTATAGTAAATCAAAGTTCCAAAGTTTTTACTATAGTAAATCAAAGTTCCAAAGTTTTCACTATAGTAAATCAAAGTTCCAAAGTTTTCACTATAGTAAATCAAAGTTCCAAAGTTTTTACTTTAGTAAATCAAAGTTCCAAAGTTTTTACTTTAGGAAATCAAAGTTCCAAAGTTTTCATTATAGTAAATCTTTACTATAGCAAATCAAAGTTGCAAAGTTTTCACTATAGTAAGTCAAAGTTCCAAAGTTTTCACAAAGTAAATCTTTACTATAGCAAATCAAAGTTGCAAAGTTTTCACTATAGTAAATCAAAGTTCCAAAGTTTTTACTATAGTAAATCAAAGTTCCAAAGTTTTTACTATAGTTAATTAAAGTTTCAAAGTTTTCCCTATATTTAATCATTTTTTCAAAGTTTTTTCATTAGTTTAACAACTTATGTATTTTTATTATTTTTCTTTATTATTATTATTTAGCCGTTTTGGGTGAGGGGTTATTTATGGGGTTGGTTGGGGCTGGTTTTTGTTGTACATCTTTATTAAAATATACAAAGTAGTTAATTCAAATGCAATATTTACATTCATAAATTTAAAAAAAAAAATACATGTTGACTGAAGTTGATAAAGCAGATATTTTAATTCTAAATGACACAATTTTTTTTTATTATATAATATTTTTTCTCCATAAATAAGACTTACGTTTCATCTGCATAACATTAAAATTAAATACAATTGAAATAAATATTGCTTATTTATCGACACAAGCGACAACTTTTACATTAAAATTCATATCTTGTACATTATTCTTTTAGGGGAGGGATCGGGTTTTCAAACTGTTCTCTAAAGCTTTCATGAATCTTAAACTTGAAATATCACAAGATGTAAAGAATGGGAATCAAAAACATAATTCCACGGGATTTATCGTACTTAATCAAAGTTTCAACTAAAGTAAATCAAAGTTCCAAAGTTTTTACTATAGTAAATCAAAGTTCCAGAGTTTTCACTATAGTAAATCAAAGTTCCAGAGTTTTTTTCTATAGTAAATCAAAGTTCCAAAGTTTTCACTATAGTAAATCAAAGTTCCAAAGTTTTCACTTTAGTAAATCATACTTCCAAAGTTTTAACTATAGTAAATCAAAGTTCCAAAGTTTTTACTATAGTAAATCAAAGTTCCAAAGTTTTCACCATAGTTAATCAAAGTTCCAAAGTTTTTACGATAGTAAATCAAAGTTCCAAAGTTTTCACTATAGTAAATCAAAGTTCCAAAGTTTTAACTAAAGTAAATCAAAGTTCCAAAGTTTTCACAATAGTAAATCAAAGTTCCAAAGTTTTCACTATAGTAAATCAAAGTTTCAAAGTTTTTACTATAGTAAATCAAAGTTCCAAAGTTTTCACCATAGTAAGTCAAAGTTCCAAAGTTTTCATTATAGTAAATCAAGTTCCAAAGTTTTCACTATAGTAAATCAAAGTGCCAAAGTTTTCACTACAGTAAGTCAAAGTTCCAAAGTTTTCACTATAGTAAGTCAAAGTTCCAAAGTTTTTACTTTGGTACTATAGTTAACTGTAGTAAACTATAGTTAACTATAGTTTACTGTAGTATTTTTTTGTTTGTTAGGGCAGTTGTATTTTGTTACTCTGTATTTATTTTCAAACTTATAGAGACAAAAAAGTCCCGATTGTCGTAGTCTTTTTCTATCTCGTACTTGCAACCTTTTCCTGTCATCTTTGATGTTAGTCAATTTTCGGTTTGTCGTAATGGTAAAAAGGCATCTAAAATTTAAATCTCCTTCGATCGTGCATCCCGGGAGTAAGGGCGTAGCGATTAATCTTTAAAAAAATCAACAATTTTAGAATCATTATTGATTTTCAGCGTAAACGTCCGCCATATTGGATATAAACGAGCGCTCGCGTCCGTTCAGCAGACAGGTTCTCCTCGGGAGCGATAGTACCCGCGAGCGCTCGCTATGCTGAACACACCCCAGAAGAACCTCGAAAAACTCCTTCGCAGGGTGATGTGTACATACTATTGTTAGTGATGAATCTAATCTAAATATCACTTATTATTAAAGTATATGATAGAAGAATATTTTTACTTTTCGACACACTTTGTCAAGCTACTTCTTCACGGTTAATTCACTCATTATGAAATGAATAGGAATATTACACTTTCCAAAGAGCGTCTTTATTTATATATTATGTATGCAAAAAAGAAAAAAAAATCAACAACAGCAACACACACCTGTTACTGTCTGATGCTTCTGATGTTTTGTCATTGTCAATTAAATCCAAGAACTCAGGATATAGACCTAAACTTAATTTCTTATACACACATAAACTTTCTTTCAAAGTTATACATGTGATTTTAATATATGTCAAGCTTTTTTCTGATCATAAACATTCATATTTTCTTATACCGATATCTGTATCCATATTCAATTCAATGACGTCAGTAGTTGGAAAATTTAGTACGAAAGGAAAGTATAAAATTCTTTGAAATTCTTATTGGAAGTACACACCTCTTAAGATCTTAGTTGGTTGTCAATGCAATTTATCAAATTAATGAACCTCAAAATATGTATATACTATATACCGTCAACGTCAGAAACTAAGACTGGTATCGACAATGTTCTCGGGTTCTTAGAGGACGATATTTTCTTGACGAAAGAAGGGCAGAACAGAAAATTAATAAGTGTTTGAGTATTCATTTTTTTTATTTGACAGGCCCGTAGGAAGCAATTTCACTTTGAGGGGACACAACCATACATTTTCAGTTAGGAGTGGGCACTATCTAGACAAGCAAAAAAAGGTCACCCGACGTTATTATTGAGGGGGCACAAACACGTGAAAGTACTGTAAGAAATTTACTTGATAAATACAACACGGAGCTCAAATCTCCAAAACGTAAACTTGATTTTTCAGACGGCGAGAACTGTGAAATTTCTGAATTGAATCCGTGCAAGCGGGGTAAAAAAAGTTTTACTCGGTAACGAACTGGATTCCGACGTGCAAACTTGCATTCGTTCATTAAGGAAATCGGGGGCTGTTATTAACACAGCAATCTGCATTGCCGTTGCGGAGGGCATTGTCCGTGCCCATGACGAGCAGCTACTATCTTGTAATGGCGGACCGATTACGTTGAAAAAAAGCTGGGCCCAGTCAGTGTTGTTTAGGATGAATATGGTTAAGCGAAGGGGCAGTTGCACGGCAAAAATTCAGTTCACAGATGACAAATTTTCTGAAATTAAAGACGAGTTTTTACAAAGAATAAACAGTGTGGTGAAAAAACATGACATTCCTCCCGAGTTAATATACAACTGGGACCATACCGGTATCAATTATGTACCTGTCAGCTCATGGACAATGGAGGTGGAGGGCACCCAGCGAGTCCCCATAATTGGTCTTGATGACAAAAGACAAGTCACCGTTGTTTTCGCAGGTAATGTAGATAATTATCAATCTTATTTTGCTTGTAGTATCAAGGAAAAAAACAGAACAAAATTAACTGTACTGATATCTTCTAATTCATTTTTTAATCATTTTAGTCACATTGAGTGGGGATTTTCTAGCTCCACAAGTCATATACCAGGGGAAAACTTCTGCTTGTCATCCTGAGTATGATTTTCCACTGGCTTGGAACATAACTCACAGTCCTAATCATTGGGCCAATACAGACACACAGATGGAATACACATCGCGAGTTCTAGTACCTCACATGGATAAAACCAAGAAAAAGCTTGGGCCACCTAACACTCAAAAGTCACTGTGTATTTTCGATGTTTTCCGAGCGCAGATGTCGAGAGAGTTCGTGGATGATTTGAAAACAAAGAATATTGAAATTGTGTATATACCACCAAGCACGACGGACAAGTTACAGCCCATGGATCTTTCCATTCAAAAAGTCGTGAAAGACAAAATGAAACAGCGCTTTCAGCGATGGTATGCATCCTGTATTTCAAAGCAACTTGACAAAGGTGTCGACATAGAAACACTGAAACCTGTTGACCTCCGTCTATCTATTCTAAAACCGCTTGGTGCTAAATGGCTGGTAGAAACTTACAAAGACATAAGAAGCCAACCAGAGATGGTAATTAAGGGGTTCGAAAAAGCAGGCATTGCTGAAGTGTGCAGAAAATCTTAATTCAAAAGCTGCTCTCTAACAGATTGTGAATGTGATTTAACACTGTGATTGTGTTATAGTTTTAATGTGTTTAATGTATTTTAATGGAAATATTTTAATGAAATTTTTCTGAAATGTATTTTAATATTTTTAACCATTTTTAAAAAACTGTAATGTGTTTTATGTATTTTAATATGAATATTTTTATGACATGTAATATTTTAAATTGCTTTGGTTTGTTCAATAAAAACTAAAAATAGACTTTATTGTTTAAATGTCTAGTAATAAAATTCAATAAAAATAGACTTTATTGTCAAAGTGAAATCGCCAAAAATAAATATACCTATTTCAGGATCAAATCGCAAAAATTTGCACCCGCATTAAAAACCAGTTATACGGTAGTACACAGCAAACTGTGCCACGTACATGTCACGTACGTTAAACGTATGTGATACGTACTTGACTTCACGTACGTATCACATGAAAAAATCACCACGTATGTTAAACGTACGTTTTCACACATATGAATATCATGCGTGACACGTACGTTTAACATACGTATTGACTACCATACGTTACACACGTGTTGCACACATACGTTATTCATATGGTTCACGTATGAATAACGTACATGCAACGTGTGTGTAACGTATGTTTTTAGAAACATGCGTTTAACATGTTTGTTAAATGCACCGCTCATATGATAAATGTATAAGTACCATACATGTGCCAAACCATGGTTAAACATATGTTTTGACCACCGAACATTCTTTTTCACATATATATTGTAAACATACGTGAAACAAAAATGATGTGCAATTAAAATATTCATTTCATGCATTTGACATAATTTTCTTCAGGGGCTTATTTTCTTTTCATCTGTTGAATGATCCACATTTTGAAGGCACATATCTGGATATCCTTCACCTCAAATTTCCTGATCCTAATTGCTCTTTAGGCAATCACAACAAAAGACATATTCAAATTTAAGCCAAATTTAATGTTGAGATGTTGAGATGTTAACATCAATTCATTCTTCTGCAATTCCCTTTCATCTGTAAAGAAAAAGAAAATATTAAATGAATTTGCATATGGAAAAACACATAGTTTTTTTTTCAGAACATTATTATTTTCTACATATAACTCCTGGTTGATTCCCTTTAGAACTTAAACTAAACTAGAACTGTCCAATATGGACAAATACCCTCCAATGGGTTTTTCAGAGAAGATGCCAAGTCACTAATACTAGTATTTTAGGATCTAAAAGATGTTCAAAAATTGTTAATACATTTAGAGAGAAAATTTCCCGGTAATTGCTTATTATATTTTTTTAATGAATGAAACTTTGGGATAGCCTAGTAAAACAGCAATACTAATAATAATATTGTTTTTTATTACATTGAAAAATTAATAACAATTTTTCAAGTATTTCTCTGTTGGAAAGTGTGGATGCATCATTTATCCATTTTTTCTACAGTATGTGACTATAGGTCAGGATCACGACACACCCTCAGGTCATAAACAATCTTTGTGTGAAGTGGATACTCCCAACATCCAAAATTATTCTCCATAGGAAAGATACGGATCGAACACGAATTATGAACTTTTTCTGTCAGTGACCTTGAATTTGTCCAAATGACCTTGGGTCAAGGTCATGACACACCTTCAGGTCATAAGCAATCTTTGTTTAAACACGAATTATGATTTTTTTTCTGTCAGAGACCTTGAACTTGCCCAAATGACCTTAGGTCAAGGTGATGACACAACCGCGGCCATAAGAAATATTAATATAACATATGGTTTTGTTGTTCTTGAGCAGAAATTTTTAAAAAATTTTCCCTACATGTGCCTTTGTAAAAACTTGATCCCCAATTGTGGCCTCTCCCTACCCCAGGGTTCATGATTTGAACAAAATTGAATCTACACTACCTGATGATGCTTTCATATAAACATGACTAATCATGGCTTTTCTGTTCTTGAGAAGATTTTTTTCCTATATATTCTTATGTAAAACTTTGATCTCCCATTATGGTCCAATCCTATCCCCAGAGGATCACGATTTAAACAAACTTGAATCTACACAGCCTGAGGATGCTTCCATTTCAAAATGACTATTCATGGCTTTGCTATTCCTGAGAAGAAGAATTTTAAAGTTTTTTTTTAAAATATTGATCCCCCACTGTGGCCCCTCCCTACCCCTGGGGGGTCATGATTTGAACAAACTTGAATCTTCACTACTTGATGATGCTTCCTTATCAATATGACTAAACAAGGCTTTGCTGTTCTTGAGAAGAAGATATTTTAAGATTTTTTCTTATATATTCCTATGTAAAACTTTGATCCCCCATTGTGGCCCCAACCTACCCCCGGGGCTCATGATTTAATCAAATTTGAATTTACACGTTGACATACAAGGTTTCCTATAAGTTTCAACTTTTTTGGCCCAGTGGTTCTTGAGAAGAAGATTTTAAAACATCCCACTAAATTTTCACTATTTCTTATCTCCCTTTTATTGAGTGTGTGGCCTTTATTTGAACAAACTTGAATCCCCTTCACCCAAGGATGGTTTGTGGCAAGTTTGGTTGAAATAGGCCAGTGGTTCTGGAGAAGAAGTCAAAAATGTGAAAGTTTACAGACAGACAGACAGACTACAGACAAAATGTTATCAGCAAAATCTCACTTGAGCTTTCAGCTCAGGTGAGCTAAAAACAGATAGCAATAGGTCATGATTGACTCAGTTTATCTAATTAGTTAAACATTTTTTTGTGATTACATTTAAGTCAGCTCAGGTGCAAAATATTGCTTATCACTGATATAAATACAACAGTAAAATTTTAGACATAACCCTATGTCTGACAATTAAATTCTATATAATAATAGAACTTACCCTCAGCATAAATCTTTCATAGCTTGGCATGGACCTATATGTTTTTGTGTCTGTTCGAAGTGTATATATACTTTTTGTCCTTGGGTAAAAAAAGAAAATATATGTTAAAGAAAAATTGCATTTCAGACTTGTACAGCAAAACAAACAATATGAAAAATTACTTATTTTACTGATAACATTTAACATTTTCTCCTCTTGTGATAGAAATGTAATGCACATCATTACATGATATTATATGTATTAAATTGCAAGTATAAAAGCAATGGGATCAGAAAATCTGATTTCTTTTTTAAGAGTATTACCATAATGCTGATTAAACTTTCAGAATCTGTTTTTGAAGTCCAGACTTGGCATTTAGGTGTTTACATAGGAGATGAGCTTCAGCCACCATCCTGGAGTGTACATTTAAAATCACATAAAAAAATCACAATCTCAAAATACATTATTTATATTCATAAGGACTGTATGAAAAAGACATCTGAAAAATAAGTGTTACACCCTTATTGCCCTAAAAGATAATTTATATTTCCTCCACATGTTTTGTAAAGAAATACATTGGGTGGATGGAACTTTTTCCATCAAGGGTTTTATTGCATCTTATTGGTAGGCTAAAAAAATCTTGCAATAAATATTTTTTATAACAGTATGTTTTATACCTCACCTTAATTTTGATATAATGTGCCAGTGTTGATTCACACCTGGGCTGGGGTGCTGACCAAGACAGTTGACTGCGTCAATATTTTCTTACTTATTTGGTAAACTAAGTTTACATTATGTTATACACTAAAATAAAAGAAACACACCCGTTAGTTTACATGCAACACAGTCTGAAATATAAAGTAAATAAATAACTGTTGATGTTATGTATATTCCTCACCGTTATTCCTAGCCTTACTCCAGACACTGTCTTGCAGACGTCAGACTTCTTACCAGTGACGTCACCCGTTAACGTAAAAAATAATCGAGGTGAAAATTCCGGAACGTACATTTTGTTATACGGACGCTACCAACTGTATAATTATGTAATATCTATCTAGGTGAATTCCATTTGAGTTCTGTTGTGAAATTATCGTGATTTTCTTTTTTTTTTTCAAATTCAGCTTTTGCTCCTGAATTCGGAATGATTATATCTACCGATGATCGAGTCCAATTTTATGTGCCTCTACCGATATCCGATATACACATTACGAGATTGGTGAACTTGTATGTAGACTATGTTACTGCTCTGAGAGTAAATTATTCACCAATGCCAAATGATTACTCCATGTCAGACATGCAAGTGGACGTAAGGTAAACAATGTGAAATAAATTGGAACATTAAAGACGCAAAACACGCACAAGTCAACAATGCACACACCTGCAGAGCTCCAGATAATTTCTTACCTCAAAGTGTATTTACTCCCTGATTTTCAAATCAATGCAGATCATGATTAAAGATTATTTTGTTAATATATAATGTTTTGATTTTGAGCTTGTTATCGAAATATAAGTGTTTAAGAAGAGGAAAGGAAAAAAAACTACAAAGGACAGTTCCGGCATTCATTTGAATAAATTTTAAAAATACCCATTAGACTTTTTGCTAAAACTGAGAAATGTTTTTTTTCTGAGAAGGAAGATCATACAGTAGGTAAAGTAACCATAGGCACATAAAACTTTTCCTTTATTTAAGATGATATCGTAACAAGAGTAAACCGAGAGAAAAAAAAATCTTCATTAATATGGCAAGTTGAGAGAAATCAGATGAACCCATCATAAAAAACGTTGTGTACAAACCGTCCTACTAACCAGAAAACTCTAGAGAATCTAAGGGAACTCTTGATCGGTAAATTCAAATACATGTTATGCGTAATGTCCCTCTACAGCAATTTATTTATTTAATTGGTCTTGAAATTAAGTAGAGCTCGTTTTTTCGATATGGTTTTAATATGGTCTTCATTGGGGGTTTTCCCCTTACACATCATGTCCTCTTTGATAACATTGCAGTACAAACATTTTTTCTCCAGCTAAGACTTTTTCCCTCCAACTATCGTTTGTTTTCTAGGTAACATTGTTTTCTTTACTTATGTATTACACTTGTTATACATGTTAATAACATCTTGCATAGACGACACAAGCTTTTGTGTGCTTAAAAGTA